CAGTCTTCTCTCATACTCTTTATATAGGATATCCCAAGAAGCCCCAAACAGTACAATTAGAGAGAATATTTAGTAGAATATTTCCTTTGAAGATTCCAAAGCAAATCTAGCTGTTAATTCTATCTGTACTGCTCAACCTCGGCCTTGTTGATGATCATTGCTCGACCTCGGCCTTGTTGATCATCATTGCTCGACCTCGGCCTTAGTGATGATCATTGCTCGACCTCGGCCTTAGTGATGATCATTGCTCGACCTCGGCCTTGTTGATGATCATTGCTCGACCTCGGCCTTAGTGATCACTGCTTGACCTATCCAGATAGCTCAATTTGATTCGCAGATTACTCATGACAATTGTCTCCGCACGTCGAATTTCTATGATTTAATTTTGACCCATACAGTTAATCTTTTCGCTTATCGAGGTCGTGTTCTGGTCGAGCTCGGTGAACGGACTTCATTAATCGTAGTTCGAGAAATTCTGATGGGGAGGTCGACTAGTAAGGATCGCGGCTGAGGGTGCCGATCTTTAGGTCCAAGTGGTATCCCTGCGGGCTGAACTTGAGCAGAATTCGACCAGGGGCAATGACTCGAGTGATGAGTTGATCGAGAAGACGGTAGAGTTGGAGAAGGCCGACGAGGCTAGGATGGCAGTTTTGGCAAGGATGGCGGCATCGGAGGAGGTTATCCGTGTCCTCAGATGTGGACAGGCGATTCGGCCTTTGTAAGATGCCTTTTTTTGATACCTTTTTTGATTTGGAATGTTATTTTTACTGCTTATTTCTGATTCTATTTTCCTTTTTTCTTGAACGTTTTTCTCGATCGATGGTTTTAAAGGAATCGTTGGTAGGCGTTAATTTGAACGTGATCGAGTGTCTTTGATTAGTCCGAGCAAAGTCAAACGTTGCCATAATTAACTCGATCGAGGTTCAGCTGTGAATCAAGTTCGAGCTAGGTCGAATACGAGTTGAATTCGAGCGAGGTTGAATGTTACTCAACTAATTTGGACTATCAAATGTGTCTTAAATAGTTTGAACGAAGTTGAATGTGAGGTAATTCGAGCGAGGTCGAAGGTTAATTCGAGCGAGGTCGAAGGTTAATTCGAGCGAGGTCGAATATGAGTTAATTCGAGCGAGGGCGAATGGTGGTTAACTCGAGCGAGGTCAAATGTTGGTGCGAGGTCGAATGTTGGTTAATTCGAGCGAGGTCGAATGTTGGTTAATTCGAGCGAGGTCGAATGTTGGTTAATTCGAGCGAGTTCGAGCGAGGTCGAATGTTGGTTAATTCGAGCGAGGTAGAATGTGAGTTAATTCGAGCGAGGTAGAATGTGTGTTAATTCGAGCGAGGTCGAGTGTGTGTTAATTCGAGCGAGGTCGAATGTGAGTTAATTCGAGCGAGGTCGGATGTGAATTAATTCGAGCGAGGTCGAATATGAGTTAAATCGAGCGAGGTCGAATGTGAGTTAATTCGAACGAGGTCGAATATGAGTTAAATCGAGCGAGGTCGAATGTGAGTTAATTCGAGCGAGGTCGAATGTTTGGTTATTCGAGCGAGGTCGAATGTAACCTTTGTTTGATAATGGCCGGGTACCGTATGGGTGTGAATTCGAACGAGGTCGAATGTACTCTGTAGTTAATTCGAACGAGGTCAAATATAACTTGTTTAATCGATGCAGCGTCTCTTTGGCGAAAATGCGCGTGAGCTTCATGTACTTATGCTTTGCCTACATATATCGGAGAGATTTACATGATTCCCGGGCTGGCAATCTAGTCCCAGTCTATATGGTCTCTTGGCGTCTTCGAATGTTTTTTATATGACGGCGATCGTTCCTTGTTCTCGTATATGAGAGAATGCTCTTGCTTCTATCCCACTTAGAAAATAGTCAGTTAAAATCAAATAAAATCGTTGTTACCTCGACTTGATCGGTCGGCGAGTGGAGGGGAGTGACTACATTCCCTTCTTTGTTTATGTTTTTAGTAGCTGCTATCAGTTTGGCAAGGCCGTGCTTGAGGGATTTGGTCGAGCTGGCATTCATCGAACTCGAGTAACAACTAGCAGATCTCGGCTTGGTATTTTTGCGGTCTTTGTTCCTTGATTTGAAAAGTCCCTGTGATTTGATTGACAACGAGCTGCGAGTCGCACCGTAGGATAACTCGTTTTGCTCCGTACTCTAGTGTTAACTTTACACCTGCAATCACGGCCTCGTTCTCGGCTTCGTTGTTAGTCATATCTGGGCATCTTATGAACTGGCAAATTACTTCGCTTATTGGGACCTCGAGTTCGAGTCTCAGTCCTGATCCCGACGTGTTTGTAATCCAATCCTGGGTGCACAAAACCAAAGGATACATAAGACATACCATAAACATAAAGGTAGGACAAGTTTATCATTTCAAAGAGTTACACAATAAGTTATCATCTCTCTCTAAAAGATAGAGCAGTATATATAAGATATAAATTGATGTCTAGCATTAACATGGCAATAGAATTATGGACATGCTTAATACATAATGGCCATAATCCTACACTAACAATTTACACTCATGACATACCAAAGCCACTCCTACAGCAAAACGTAGTTTTCATATTGATATCAGACATAATTTAATTTCTCGCTTTTACAAAATCTTCACAAGTCACAACCTTATTCCATTAGCATAAACAACATGCTTTCCATCATCATGCAGTAACAATAAAATCCACTAAGAACTTGTAAAACATTTCATACATATATGCAGAGATCCAATCTTGATTGGTCTAACTATTTCAAGAGCTTACCTACGAATTTCTCAAGTTCGCATTTGTAACGAAAGGATGACGTTACAATGAACAGAAAGTGGAACTAGAATTGAATTTAAATCTAGAGGAAACTAAAATTTTAACTAGAAAATCCCCAAAGACGACGCCAAATTGTTTGACCAAAAAGTATGAGACCTTTTGTTAAACTAACTAAATAAGAAGATAGAGGGTAAATCCTAGTTGAGGATAATTTATTCTAGATCTGAGATGGATAACACGAATATAGTTGAGTATAGATGCTGACAGTAATTATGGTTGGATCTATTAGTATGAAAAAAAGACTATGCGTTAAATAACACTAAATGGCAATAAAATGTAAATAAAGGAGAAGATTCACTCAATCTTGAGTGAGATGGATCCTCTTTCATTTGATAAGGATGAATGATAGACAAATACAAAAATCTTAGGACCCTTTTCGGATCTGATGGATCTCTTTTGAGAGATGTGTTTGTATTTTTTCTAGAGAGAGAGAGTCTGCTTTTTTAGAACCCCCCC